CCGCCCCCACCCGCACCCCCACCCACCCACACCCACCCACACCCACACCCACCCACACCCACAACCACACCAATCCACACTCACCCACACCCACCCCCATGGTGCTACAGGTTTTGGTTGAGATGCTTCAGACATTTTCTGGGGTGCTACAAGAACTATGTGAGAAGCTTGAGTTGCCGTGCAGCAGTGAGTAGGAATAATGAAGTACACAGAGACGTGCATGGGTCGCGGCCCTTCGGGGGTACTTCGCGTCCACACGCCGTGACGCAGAAATAAAAGATGAGTTAGGTGAGGGAAAGCACTTCCCCACTGAATATCTTCAGAACACTTGAGAATTGAAAGTTTGATTAGTTGCATAAATGAATACTTGAATACTTAAATAGTTGAAACTTCAACTATTCAATAATTGAACTCGTGAATTCAAGTTTCATTATTACATATATTGTGGACGTGGATGTTGTTTAAGAGTATATATATCGATCTTCACATCTACACCCCTACAGACTAATTTCCAATTTATAAAACACCACAACTGGAGCATTTTATTGCTTTTTTTTCTTTTGATTATTGCTGCTTTCTTATCATATACCTCGACAACACTGGCTATAAGAAACGAAACAAGTCAACAATCCTGTGTGCATCTTATATGGCTTTGTCTTAAGTTACTAATAAAGGTGATGTGTTGCTACAGTTGTTGCAGTATTTACAAGCGTCGAATCTTACTGTTAGCAATTCTGCTTATTGGTGATGGTATTAGTCTTGTCGCGAGAGTCGGTTTTATATTCTTCGACATGGAATATTATGGTGAGACCGTTCCCTCAAACAAAGGAAATGATTTCATCGCTCCATTCGTTATTGATTGTATTAGCTCTGTCACAATTGCTATTATGGGCTTAGTTATTGTAGTTTTCTCATTCTTTTTGCAATGCTGCTCTTGTATATTATGTTTTTATTCTACGAATCAGGTGAGCCCACTTGATGGACAGAAGAGTGGCCGTTTCCACATTTTCAACAATCTCAAAGCTCTTCATCGCTTCATTGCACTAGACTGCAATTGCCCTTTCTACAAAGCACGACCAAAACTTCGATTTCAAGTTCGATTTATTTTTTTCATTATATGCTTTGTGTTGCGCGGCGTCGCTACCTTGTTGTATTGGCGAATCTCAAGTGGAGGTTAGTCAGATTAGTAGTAGTCGAGATTTTTCAGTTTTCAAAGCTCGTTATCTTCATATATGTATGTAAAAAAGAATGTCAGTCTTATGGTTGATTTTTTCCTTGGTTATCTTTGCTCTAGCTGAAATATGAAATTTATATGCTTTCGACATTTTCCCGCGATAGTTTTTGCTTACGACCATACTTGGATGAATGAGCTTTCAATAATTTTTTGCGAAACACGATCTAAAGGAAGTGTTGACGTTTATAGGGTAGAAATTTTGCATTCCCTTTCCCTTACAGATCTTAATAGACGTCGTTAAGATAAGATCATGGATTATTTATCAATAGGGATTTGTTACAATGTATGAACTATTTCTCTATGTCATTTCTGGATGATACAGTAAAAGAAGTGTGAAGAAAGGACGGGGGACGCTTTCCTGGAATTTTGGCCCACTGTGAAAATAAAGGTTGTTCCGAGTGAAACTTTCAGCAAATACTCAGCTATATACCAGTGGCCACCGCACAAAATTTCAACTTGATCCGTTGAACTTTTCCTTTACTTTCACCACACCCTAAATGTACATATAAATACCATATAGGGGTTACCTTGTGGACCCTCGCTCTCGACTATACGATTCAGAACTGGAATGATTTTTCTAGGATCACTAGGAATAAGTGAGGGCTACAATATTGCAACGACATGAGGTCCAGAAAGAAACTGTCTTTGTACCCATTTGAAGTACACAGTGCCAAAAATCCTTGAAAAATCCCTATAGAGGTAATCCTGTTCACTGTCGTTCTCCACCATACAATTCAGAACCGGAGCCATTTTTTCAGTATCACTAGGAATAAGTGAGAGCTACAATATTGCAAGGACATGAGGTCCAGAAAAAATCTGTCTTCGTATCCATTTGAAGTGAACAGTGCCAAAAATCCTTGAAAAATCCCTGTAGAAGTAACCTTGTTGACCTTCGTTCTCCACTATACAATTCAGAACCGGAACCATTTTTTCAGCACCAATATCAATTATCAAAAGCTTCAAAACTACCAAGACAAGGCCTTGCAAAAATTCTGTCTTCCAAATAATGCCTGGGACACACCACCCCCAGTTGGATGATATGGTCTCATAGTAAATCTTGTGTCCCTACATTCTCTACTATTTGATTCAGAACCGGAGCCATTTTTTCAGGATCAATATCAATTATCAAAAGCTTCAAAGCTACCAAGACAAGGCCTTGCAAAAAATCTGTCTTCTAAATAATGCCTAGGACATACCATCCCCATTTTCTACACAAGATATTCTAAATAGTTGTTGCGACTGTCCAGGTGGCGATAGAAAGGTAGGAGTTTGTTCACATCGAGCAGCTGCCATCTGGTTTCTATCATACCAACGATATTACAATGGACCTACAATCAATCAACCATCTGGCTCTTATTTGAACTTACTTGATGATAGCGATCGGATTGATGATTTTGTTGAATCAACCGATGAAGATGAAGACTATCGATACTCACTTGCTTAATGAAGATAAGGTCTAAAAGAACTTTCTTCGAACTACGATAGTATAAATATACTTCTCCTGTCATACTTGTTCAATAGATAAGGCTTCCTAATTCAACGAGTTTCGACAAAAGAGTACAGATCAGAGGTCTTAACAATTAATTATCATATATCTCTTTATGTACTTTGAGCAATATGTCCCACATAATCAATCAAACGACAGCATTTTTATGTTCACTTGCCTTGGTAGTTTTAAAGCGTTTGATGATTGCTATTGATGCTAAAGAAAACGGCTTTGGTTCTAAAGCAAATAGCGGAGAACGAAAAGACACAAGATTCACTATGAGATCCATATGATCCCATTGGGGATGGTATGTCCTAGGCATTATTTAGAAGACAAGTTTTTTGCAAGGCCTTGTCTTGGTAGTTTTGAAGCTTTTGATAATTGATATTGATCCTGAAAAAATGGCTCCGATTCTGAATTGTATGGTGGAGAACGACAGTGAACAGGATTAGCTCTATAGGGATTTTTCAAGAATTTTTGGCACTGTGTACTTCAAATGGGTACAAAGACAGTTTCTTTCTGGACCTCATGTCGTTGCAATATTGTAGCCCTCACTTATTCCTAGTGATCCTAGAAAAATCATTCCAGTTCTGAATCGTATAGTCGAGAGCGAGGGTCCACAAGATAACCCCTATATGGTATTTATATGTACATTTAGGGTGTGGTGAAAGTAAAGGAAAAGTTCAACGGATCAAGTTGAAATTTTGTGCAGTGGCCACTGGTATATAGCTGAGTATTTGCTGAAAGTTTCACTCGGAACAACCTTTATTTTCACAGTGGGCCAAAATTCCAGGAAAGCGTCCCCCGTCCTTTGTCTCTTAGTAGATATATCAAATAAAACAATATTTCTGTGTTTAGTAACAGCAGCTATATCATATTTCATATTTTTATCCCACAGTGATTGCTCTGACAGCTTTTAATATTTCCATCAGAAACACGTCGAAATATAAAGATTATTAGAAATTTTACAGGGTCTTGTGTCGAATTCTTTAAGCACGCATAAAATTATACTTTCCTGGAAAGAACTCGTATTTATGTACCGAATTTCGATACAAACTGATTATATACAGATTACTTGTTGTTCTTTAATGGCTCGATTCAGTGCCCATTTTTGACAAGAAGTAACGCGGTAAGAATCCTTATCGCAACAAGAGAGTCAGTCAATTATTTGTCAATAGGTAAAAACAATATTTACAACACTAGAATATCATTCATTGTTATGTTATAAGATACAAGTTTAGATGTTATCTAATTACAAAGTCACAAATTTTTTTCATAATTAAAATAACCGTGTGTATTAGAGTACAGTTGTGAACTGCAAGTAATAGACAATAGTATTCAGCTGATCTAGTCATTCGTATTTGTTTGAGAAGAAAAAAATTGGAAGATATCGGAGAAAAGCATGAATTATTTTTTCTTTCCATCTATTCTTTATTGTGTATTTTTTCTTGCGTCGCCTGACTTCATCAGATATCCTGCATTTCTCTATCAACATGTACCATTTCTTTAGATATACGGATCTAGCTGTTTTACTATGGGTTGTTAGTTTAAATTATGGTAGTATCAAACGAAATATAACAGATTGATGTGATTTCTGATTTAATGAGTTTTAATTCACCTTGTTTAGAATTCCATTTAGGCAAAATTGCGAAGGACTCGTGTGAGTTTTAGCATTTAAACCAACAGTTCTAAATGATAGATCTTATTTCGGATATATTTTTTCTTGTTTTTGATAGAGAACAAGGTGCGAATGACATCTACCTACTATGCCTGTATTTTCTCGCTTCTTTTCCTGATCGGTACGTTTCTCCTCGATATGTATCGTTATGTTGTGTGGTGGCACTATAGGCCACAGTGTGATACTCGATGTCATCTCCATTCATCAAAGCATAAACGCTATTTACCCTACCACATCGTAGGTGAAAGACGACAAGAAGACGTATGGGGTGATCGTCCATGTGATACCGATCCGTGTCCAAATCGAACACTCGAACATATCGTCATTTTTCATGCTAGAGATTACAAACCACAGCCTCGCTGGCGTGAATTAAATGCTGTTGATCCTAATGCGACTTATATAGGCTTTCATACTACGAAATCTCAAGCAGCAGTTGCCATAGCTCATAGCGAATTTAGGCCAAGCTCTTCAGGGATGCTTGGTAGTGGTGCGTATTTTGCACGATCTGTTGAGGATACTTTTGGGAAAGCCAATAGCTATGGTGCTTGGATTATTGCCGAAATCCATATGGGTAAAGTCTTCGAAATTAATAAGAAACAGATCTATCCGATATTCAATAATCCTCATTATAATGCAAATCTACATCATTTTGTACAATCCGGTGGATGGCATAAGGAATATGACACATGTTATTTGAATCATGAGATGGATCGCAAAGATGAATTTTGTATTAAAAACCCAGGAGAGCAAATTATCAAATGGGTCATTGTGGTCGAAAGACAGGATGATGCAAAAGTGTCTCAATATGGACTTGACACTGAATTCAACTCGACTAAATGTGGTTGCATATGAGATTATTTTGTCTTTTAAATGTACTTTTTCCTTAAAAGTGATTCAAATATTAACAGATCATAAACTTTTGAATTACTTTCAAATTTTCATCAATCAACACGTCCAAATGAGGATGTTTTTCATTTATAGTCTTTTTTTGATATCTTTCTCTAACAGCAATCAAGGAGTAATCCAGAAATCTAAATATTTACCCATAAATTTCTTGCAGAATTCGGCCAATGTTTCGTGAGATAACCAGTTAATTATCATTCAGAATTATTGGCTCTAAAATAGCGATTAATAAGTATGCAGTCAATGATTTATTTATTTTTCTTTATTTTCTCTCTTGAATTGGCTGGCGTTCCTTTTGCTTTTGTTTTCATCTGTTCGATCTATAAACGAAGAGCACTGAGAACGATTTAATTAGTAGTAACAGTGTTAGAGTCCATCTCTTACAATGCTAAATGGACAATGCTATAAGAAAACAATAATGCAGGAGAACAGTGGTTCGTTTCTAACTTTCGTTGAGTGTGGGATGTGGGCATGGGTGTAGATTTGAGAACCGATCTTTAGAAAAGCCCAAACCCATATCTCTGTCATTGGAATTCTTTTTTCAGTTCTCGTCACTCACTCCAGCATCATTTTTGCGTTGGAGTTTTGCTATGTAGGCGTAAGATATACCCAAACTATTTATCACAGCAATATTTTCTCTACCAGATTGTATGCGATATTAGAAGCATCGAATAGATGCATGGATGCCTATGCTAACTTTTTAAAGTCTCATTAATGTTTGTTATTTTTCGAAATCCATGCTACAGAGCATATATTCTATTGAATTTCCAGCGTTTTATAAATAAAACTAATTCAGAAGAAACTCGCTTCAGCAAAACCTATTGCCTAGTGGTAAAATTATTCACATTGACTAACATTCTTACTGTTGATATGAAAATAATCACAAAACGAAACTATACTTAATCATAAGTGGGTGGTAAGTTTTGGCTATCTTTTTTTTCACAATGACATTTACACCCATACGTTGTTTTTTTGTTGTTTCTATGAAATATCATTCTTAAATGGCGCTATCTATTTGGAGTGTTTTATAGTTACTTCGTGAAATCATTCTTAATAAAACTGGTCGTTAAAACAATCGAAAAAAATAAAAAAAGATAGATTACGTTCGCAAGAGGCAAGATAAGAAACGTGCATTCGTCTTATACTGTACAAATAAGAGACAAGTCATTTGACAAAAAAAATACTTATTTCAAAGACGTGGTGTTCAAAACATTTGGAATTCTAGTATCACTGATATATCATAGGTACGTAATACTTTGCTTACCTTATATGTGAAATAGTATATTAACTCTAACCGAGTATAACTAGTCGTGTATTAAATGAAAAAAGAATTATACTATGCATGCAAAGAATTCGCCTATAAGTCAGATTTCTTTCTGCATCATGATGGTAATAGGTAGTCAAACAATAACCAGTTTTTAGTCGAACAAGTTCTATTATCATGTATGTACAGTCAATCTAGAGGGTTGCAACACACAGATATATACGTACATGCGTGAGAAAATAAAGAGGACTCACTAGAAGAAAGTGAAGATTCTAGAACCCAATAGAGGGCACTAGAAAGACCATAGAACAACTATGTGGAAAGAAACAATGAAAACGAACGTACTTGAATATACTAGAAAATGTTACATACCCCCATAAATGCAGAACGAAAGATATAGATGAAAAACATACATGATGACTTTACAACAGTGAAAGGCAGAAAGAGATTATACAAGAGAGTTAGCAATATCTAACAATTGCTTCAAGGTTTCCTCAGAAAATCTGATTTTTCGAACAGAAGCCGAGGTCCAGTTTGTCTACTAGAAAGATTCCTCGAAAATCACCTTTTTCAGCATTTATATAGTTTTCTACCGAATGGTTCAGTTTTAACAGACTTATTGAAGAAAAACTCCCAACCCCTACTATCGTGTTTTGCTAAATATCGGTATGAGCTTGAGTATAAGTTTGCGTCTTGGCGTGGACGAATCTCGATGTTTATTCCTTCTGCTGTGATCTTGGATGTGAATGTTAGTGTAGTCGTGGCTGTAAGGTACAATTTAATTGGAAATATATAGTTGCACACATACATACTCATCCAATCCTACGTCCTACAGTCATATACATACACACGCTTACACACTTGCATCCCAAAACATGTCTTTCAGAATGGAAAGTCTAAATAACTACCGCTTGGCTCTGCCTATCCTCGATGAGTGGAGTGTGGGTGTGGGTGTGTCGTGGATGGGTGTGTGGGTGTGGGTGTGTCGTGGATGGGTGTGTGGGTGTGGGTGTGGGTGTGGGTGTGGGTGTGGGTGTGGGTGTGGGTGTGGGTGTGGATGTGGATGTGGGTGTGGGTGTGGGTGTGGGTGTGGGTGTGGCGTGTGGGGTGTGGGTGTGGGGTGTGGGGTGTGGTTGTGGGGTGTGGGTGTGCGTGTGGGTGTCGGTGTGGGTGTGGGCGTGGGTGGGTGTGTGGATAATTATTGTGATCAGCTTTTCACTGATAACTGCAACTACCTCCACATATATTCACACCCACACCCACACCCTCACCCACACCCACATCCACATCCACACCCACACCCACACCCACACCCACACCCACACCCACACCCACACCCACCCTTAAAAATGTCATCATATTTGATATTATTATTCGATGCTTATGGCTCAGCTCAAACGTACCATTGACTTTATTATATATCAATAAATAATGTCTCCATCTTATATTAGAATTTGAATGGTATTACATGTGATATGATGAATTCTGGAATATAATTTTATGTGTTGGTGATGATAATCTTGCTAATGATGCAATACGTTTTTTACTTGATTTATATTATACAAAATAACCAAATCGTACACATCGTCCAACAGCTCAATCACTTCATGAATGTTTTTTCCTTTTTATAAAATAAAAAAAAAAAAAAAACGAAGTATATACACGTTTAAATTCACTACTTATATCTGATATACCACCATCAACATCATTAACATTAACAATTGGACAATATTATCAATCATTAAAAACTTATGGTTAATAATGGATAGCATCAGATAATACAAGTATGTCAAATGATTTATCAATACATATTGATCATCAATTATGGTTACAAAGAAGTGAATGTTTATCTATGATAACAGAAGAAAAAATATATATTGATATTGTTGAACATGAACATTCATCAACAGCTCATATAACATCCTTTGATAGCTTAGAATATCAAATAGAAATCATTCTTGGTGAACTAGGTAAAACAAATTATACATATATAGTTATTATTCATTTAAATGATATACTTGAAATGTTACGTACACGTCCTGGACTTTATTATAAGTTTCAGCACATTATATACATATATCAATCCAAAATACACGTCCATCACCTCAATCTTATGATCATTAAGGTCCTATTAATAATGCTATTACATTACCATCAAATAATTTCTTCTTGTTCATCATCATCAACAAATAATAATACTAATACTGTCCTTGATTTATGGTGAAGTTAAAAATATTTATATCAAGTTCATATAATAGCCAAAAAAAAAAGTTTTAATTAGTACAAGTTCTCGTGAAGTTGATCAATGTGCATCATGTAATAGAATATGTTATGTAAGATTGAAGCATCAGCATGTGACATAAGAGCTGTTATTCATCAAATATTATCAAAAGCTCGATCAACATTATGGCCACCAAGTGCAACAACTCGTAGTTCAAATCAAAAAGATTATTATCACAATCAATTGAATATTCGGTTTACGTTGTTAATTAACGAAAAAAATTTTAACAAAATAAATACAAAACAAAAAGTTTTATCTAATGAATCTAATTGGTATCATCATATATATCATTAACAACATCAATCGAATTACGTACAACTGATAATATTTTATTTATCATGGGTCATTTAAGATTTATTCGTACATTATTAACATATGAAAATTGAATTTAGTATTGGTTTTATAGGTTTAATATTGATCAACTTTTATTTCCTGCATCAAAACTTATGTCATCACAAACCGTATCAACAAATAATGGAAATAATTCATTAGACGATGTTGTACCGGAACCAAAATGTTCAACAAGTGAAAGTTGTTTAGCTGCATATGATGTACTTGTAAAATTAGTCGTACAAAAGTAAACAAAATATTGTTAATGATCTTATTAATATTCATCATAGACCTTTACTTGAAAAACAAACTGAATCGGGGTTTGTGCCACAAGTTAATCCTCGTGCACCTTGTCGTTTAGTCAAACTTTATAATGGCGGTGCAACATGTTATATGAATTCAATTCTTCAACAATTATCTATGTTACCACAAATATCTGAACATACATTAAGTGTTCCTAATGATCTTGATAGTGCTAATAGAACAACTAAAACAAGTGATTCAAATCTATTTTATCAACCTCAACAAGTAATTATTTGGTCATTTAATGCAAAGTAAAATGAAATATTCATACTGAAACTATACAGTAACGAATATTATCTCTAACACATATTAGAATTTAAATGTTGTTATACTTTGTACTATTCTTGGATTCTCATACTCAACTTAAATATATCATCAAGTTTATTATATATATATTTAAATCATGTCCTTATCGAGTACTGGAATTTCATATTACTGCATTTAATCAGACTGTTTAAGATAACCTTACATTTAATCTGAGGATTAATTATAATTATAACTCAACTCATATGTTTCCACTTCAACTCTTCTCTGAATGGATATACTGATAATGTGGAAAAACTTGTTCGTCGTATATTTATGCTGATTTTGTTCTTCCTTTTGTTCTTGTTTTCTACAAAAATCTAATCTTTCATTTTGTTCATGATGATGTGACCAGACGGGCCACGAAAGCTTGAATGTAAATATTTTTCTGATGAAAAATTAACAAAAATAAATATAATTTTCACAGCAGTTATCTCGTTTCTTTTCTATTATTTATAATCTATGTACTTGTACGTGTAAACGTTTATTTTGCATGGTACAAAACCAAGTACAAATTCCATTTTTTCAGATCTTTACTATTTAATGCAGCGGAAGAGACACAGTTTTTAAAAGTGAGCTCATAACTACCTACTAAGAATAGGCTGTACTTGAAAGCGGATATCATTGCTCAATTCTGAACATTCTGTCATAAATGTGTAATATATTATAGATATAGCAGATAATTAAAAATGCATCTATGTTTGGCATAATTATTGAAAAAACAAAATAAAATGAACTATGAATAAAATGACACGCTATAAACTAAAACAACAAGCACAATGAAAGAGATAACCACAAGTCTATTTTAAAGATTATCTTTTATACAAATCAGTGAATTAAACTCTCATGTAACTGTGCCAATACATTAAAAAGAATGAAACCATTATGAATCGAATATGTTAGGAAAAAATTGATGCCCATTCGAACTTTGATATCTCATCTTTAAAACTTGAACTGAAAAAAACTATCATCGTTTCAAATATCATTTCACTTATACAAAATTTATATTTCATTTATCATCATAGGTATTCAAAACTAAATATAGTAAATACAATCTTTTAATGATTCTAGTCGAGATCTGTTCTTTTTTCGAGCATAGTTCTCATTTGATTTATTTACTTATTATCTCTCTCTCTCTCTCTCGTTATTTTATTTTAAAAAAATATACCATGTGGACGTTATAATGCATAGAAAATATAACTAGAAAGCAAAAACATTGATGATATGAGCATCTATATGAAATAAAGACAAGAAGTCCATTAATTATTTGTCAACATTGTCAAGTACAATTTTTTTCAAGAAAATCTCAAAATAATATTGTCAGAACAAAAAGTTATTTCAAATAATGTCCAGACACCTGGCAAGTTCTGCCGTAACCAAATAATAAGTTCATCTTCTATTGAATATCATCGTTATCGTTGGTGATCGTCACATTTCAAATATAATAATAGTAAACTGTACATTGCTTTAATTAGATAACATATTGATATTCGACTTTTTACACGAATGTTAAGTTCTTCACATTGTGTAGCAAGAGATCAATGATTCAAAGGGTCCTAGTAGATCGAGCCGTTTTAACAACGTATTATTGGTGTCTAATGGTAGGTTTTCCATAGAATTGATGTTATTATTCATTGAAAAGCCTAAGAACGATAGATTTAGGGTTTGGTTGTGGGTGGGTGTGGGGTGTGGATGTGGTGCTTAATCTTATCTCAACCCACACCCAATTCGACCTCGTTGCGAGCAAACCAATTCGGTTACTGAATTCTATTTATCAAACCACAGAAACGATGAACAACGTTATTCTGGATAATGTTTCTAAATTGAAAACACTCTCAAACAAACTGTTGATTGACATATTCGAGTACATGGCTCCACGAGACTTCATGTATGGCTTTCAGAACTTGAATCATCAACTGAAGGAAATTATCATTTCATCCAAAATATGTTTGAAAGATATCAAAATTTTAGGTGATTTTTTTTCTGTTTTATTTTCGGTAGAAATGTTTCCCAATAACAAAACTATAGCAAGTGTCACTGTGAAAAAGTAATATAGCTTGTGAGTATTATTGATCTTCTATTTTGAGTAATAACGAGTTTATGGTTGAATTACTGTTAGCTGTGTTTATTTGCTTAGATCACTCAGGTTATGTTAAGATCATTCTTAATTGGTCCTCGCAAACATTTAAAAACTGCTTTGAATATTCTGTTGAATCAAAATACTTCTTCTGAAGATATTTAACTAGTAGATTGAGTCTAGAAATAATTAGAAAAGTGTAAACTAAATTGAATTATAGATTTTCACAGCAATACAAGAATTCTTACTGAAAAATTTCAAATCGATATGCGTTGATCTGCTTTTGCATGTTATTTGATATTGTGAGTTGTTAGTGACGTGAAGTTTGAGCAATCAGACAACTAAAATTATCTTAGGATTGCTTTGATCTTGATATTTTATAATGTATAAACACGGTATGCGTACAGATCAATGGCACAATCCAAGAAGCTTTTACATCACGAAAATAATAGAAAGATTGAATTTGTTTGATTTACTCATAGATTCTACTTTCAGTTCATTGTTTAATACAGAACAAATTGAGATTTTTGGAATCATTCGAATCTCTAAAGTCTTATGGATCTATATTCTTCGATTTGAGATAAAAAATTGATTGAGTGTCTAGCTTAATTAAGAATAGTTATTTCTCTTTGATAATATGTATTACAAAATTTATGAATTTAAATAGATTTTTTTGGCATTTTTTTTCCTTCGATAGTTGATTGGAGTGCATTATGTACAATTGATTCAAAGTCTAACTGATTGAAGCTATTAGTTTAATAGTTAGACTCGAGTCTACTGATAGTCTTTCTCCATAAATAAAAAAAACTCTGAACACGTTTTTAGACACTTAACAAAATAATTTTTGATTAATTGAAAAATTCATTTTAATAGGAAAAAATATATAGATGAATCGACTTAACGATTAAGATTTATTGACATTTCTATTGCTTGATTAGGATCATTCATATTACAAATTCAATTGATTGGAATTCTAAGTCACGAAAGATATGCGAAAAATTATTCAGTACAGAATTCGAGACTTGTTTGTAATCGATGTCTTTTACTTAATTGATGAAAATATTGAGTCAACATAACTGTTTTGCATAGTGAACATTTTCATAGAATCAATGACTATATTTATGGCAGATAATATTTTTCATTTATATTTATAGTTCTCAAAATCATGATGACATGGTACTTTTCAAATTTTTCACACAGCGTCTCTATTTACTTCACATCGGTTACAATAGTACTCATATCGATTTAATTCAATGTTGTCAACTTCGGGCACTTGAAATGTGGTCTATGAACGAAGAGAATCTTACTGCGATTCGATCTTCAACGTCTTGTCATAAAAGATATCAGCTTATTGCACAGCGACAATTTCTTCGACAGATTTTCTACCGAATTGAAAATGTTATTGAGCAAAAACAACTGAAAAGTGGTATGCCGACAATGATCAGGACAATCTCAAAGCATTGGTAGAAGCTTATCTAGCTTGTCAAGATATTGGTCAGTGTATTTCGTACATAAAATCTATTGGCTGAGGTCATATTGATATTGAAAGTTGTCTTTAAATAATGAATTACTTCAATTATTTAATCAAATTTTTCAACATATCAGATGTAAACATAATTGAACTGTTTTATTTTCTGTTGACACATGATTTATGATACCCTTGTTTCATTGATATCGTTATTGAATCATTTTATTCATTAGAATTCATAATTGAAAATGATAACTAATGTAATAACATTTCAAACTTCAAGTACATTTTTTTATCGTTTTTTTCATATATGGTTTAATAATGTGAAGTGTAGATCATGAAAAATTACTTTCTGGCATGAATTGACACTATTCTCACATCAATATATTTCAAAGACATGGAAGGTATCATTTTCTAAGAAAATAAACATTTTAAAAAGTGAAAAATTTTCTACTTTGCTCTTCTTGCCAGTGCACGGGACTATTTTTTCAGATTTAGCATTAAAATTGTGTATAGAAAAGATGTCAAAACTATTGTAAATGGTGTGGGTGTAGATATGGATATTCACTTCCTTGGAAATATACTCTCACACCCACACTCGATTTGAATGTGCTGGGTTGAAAATTAATTTCTTAACCATTTATTGGGTTAGATCTCAAAATGTTTGAGTACTTGGTAAGAAAATTTGAAATTGCTGTTGAATAGGACTTAAAATCAGTCTATGATCATTATGTTTTTTTTCTCTGCGATTACATTAGATGAAGGGTTTTAATTCTACGAATAATAAACTTATATAGGAATGGTATTTATATTGTCTAACTAAACATATTAAATAAGTATTAGTTTTTCATTTAATATTCTCTTAAGAATTTAAATATAAAATGAAAAAATATATTTCATTCTACAATAATTTAATAGAAAAACTGATTGGATTTTGTTAAGAGAATGCATCTCAATCATCGAGATAAAAAAAAACAAAAGAACTCTTCCATTTCATTTATGAACTGATCCTTCATCTGTAAATAATCATGTTAATGGATATTTATTGGATGAACAAATTCTATGAAAAGTTTTAACTAAATCAAAATAACGGATGGTAAAAAAAACATCTAAACAAAGTCAGTGTTCAGTTTTAACCTAGTTAAAAGTATTTTAGATAGATCGAAAAAAATATCGATTAGAACTAGAAGATCTCAGTCGTTTCCGGCAAAGGCTCAGAAACTTTCTGTCTGCTTTTGTTCGAGAGTATTTATTTTAAACGTCCAACCAGAGTACTTTGAAACAAGTGATGAACCAAAATTTCTGGAGAGCATTCTATTCACTTTTAAATGATTTAGATAAGTGAAAAACTATGGTTTCGTAACAGAATTTTATGTCCTTTCTAAAGATAGACTTAGACATAAGGTA